TCTTAATCACAATTTAATATTTTTTTTCTTAACGATTAGCAATATTATAAGTAATAAGTTGACCAAAGAATATTTTTTATTACTTAAGAAAATGATTATAGATTGGTTGCTTAATTTATGATGAAAAGCACTAATTGGAAGTTATTAATCACTGATTAAGAGAATGAGAGAGAGATTAGCGCAAATGAGAATTGCATGTCAAGGAGAAATTTTTTTTTCAACAAAAAATGGTCAAAAGTAGGCTCAAGTATAAATCTATATATTATCTCAGGAAAAAAATAATAATTTTGTCAGACCATATTAATTTATTATAAAAGGAGTATAGTATATGAGTAGAAAATTGAAGGGAGATTTACATACTCAAAATATTTTGATTTACACATTTTATATATAATTTAACTATTTAAAATAGAATTATGTTAACTGAGTTAGGATTTCTGTTGAATCTCGTCAGATATCATTGAAGAATCTCATCAGAGCTCTTCATTAGATACCCATATCCACCTACGTACGTACCCACCCATACCCAATATGTATGAGTGGGTATGGGTTCTCTCGTGGCCTCGTGGGTTGGTATGGGTGGATACAGAACATCGGGGGATAAACCAATTTAAATTGCTAATCACCGTATATTGTATATTACCGCAATCCTCACTACACAGTGCACATCACTAAACAACGCTATGACTACGGAAAATTTTGATATGCTGCTTGAAAGTTTGCAGTCAAAGCAAAGGGCAACAAGCGTCAATGCCATCAATACGTGGCGGACTGCATTCAAATAGCGTGGTTAGTGAGTGAGTATGGGTGGGTAAGGCATCCCAAAAGTAAACAGTCGTCGCCCACCAACCATTCTGGGCCACCATCGATATCCACTGTCAAGTGTCGCCACCTGCTCACCACCACTATTGGTCATGGTTCGCGTCTTCATTTGGGACAACTTTATTAATACATTTTAGCATAAAAATTTTTTAACGAAAAAAATTTATACCAGAAAACGATAAGAAAGTTATCTCAAATGAAGTCGAAGTTGAGCAGAAAATAAACATCACATTTTTTTATACGAAAATTCTAAGCACCAAGTTTTGGATGTGGTGGTTGATGTTTGGCGGCAAAATTTTATATCTTTGATATCTTCTACAATTTACTCAGTCTATTGATTTGTATATATGATGAATCTTTATAAAAATACATACATAATAATTTCTCTATTTCTTTATAACTACAAATATTCTGACATGCATAATATTTATTTAATTTGTTCGATAAAAATAAAATTTATCTTTATATAAACTAGACAATGATAAATAATAATATGATTTTCATTAAACATGTGAAACACAATTCTCAACAAAAGAATTGCTCTCTGACCTCTACAGCTCTAAAATTGCCAAAATATGTCTATTAAATCATCTTTATTTGTAATGTTTCAATTAAGGCTAAGGCTTCGTTTGTGATGATTTTTTTTTATTATTTTTAAAAACAAAGTTTTAATATAAAATTTTTTTACTAAAATTTTGTCTTAAAAAGCAATAAAAAATCGTCTCAGCAAAATTTGAGTCTGAAGCAACTTCTTAGCACTATTTAAAATAATTTTTTAATTTAAAATTTTATTTCAAAAAATTTTTTGCACTGAAAATGATATTAAAAAATAGTAAAAAAATTATCCAAAAAAATCTAAATATACAATTGTTGAATACATATATTACTTATTTATATTAATTTTAAAGAAAATTAAAACAATAATTGGATGTCTTCAATACCACATCCAATTATTTTTTTTGGGAAATTTTGGGGCATAAGCCCTTCTTCTATTCAGAAAAAGTAAAGGTTACATGTAATGACTGTAAAGGAAAAGAAGCAAAACCTACATAAGAAAAACAAAAAACTTATGCAGGCATAAAAAAACCACAACTATACCACCCAATACCTACAAAAAGATTTATAAAGCACCAAAACGTGGTAATTGAAGCAAGATCTTTGAGGACTCAGGCTGCTGACCAAGTGACAACCCGATGAATGAAAAGCCTCCAATAAATCTCCTGGTTGCCGAAGAACGACCCTCCAAGGGAAAGAAGGTCCAACAGTACTCATCATTGTCCCCAATTATTAAAAAAAAAATTCCAAGTTTCCAACATGAAGTCATAGATTTACAAAAATACCCCAATCAAGCTAAGACTATTAAACGACCTTTCGAAGATTTCAGGGTCAAGTTTGAGGAATTTTGGCCCCCTCATGCGGCTTGAATGGCCATCTTTCTAGATAAACAGTCAAAGCGCGTTGACCCGCTTATCCTTTTTTTTTTAATATTTCTTGGATAACACGAAATGTGGAACTCGTATCTTCCCGTGATAGATAGAAAACACCAGATAAATAATTGCAAACCGTTGGATCTGCTTGAGTTCAGAAAAGCACGAATCCTAAAGCAAGGTCCTATGCGTGGAGTCGCATAGGACAAAAATACGAATGCAGTGACTTCATTCAGCATGACAAGCTATGACGCCAATGCGTCACGTGCGAGTGAAATTTCAACCATAGTTTGACTGATAAAACTTTCACTGATTACTCTGTTGATTGGGGATTTTTAACTATTAATTAAGAGGAACAGCTTTATTTTATGAAGTTCATTTTATTGTATTTTAGGGTATTTAATTGAATACTTGATTTTTAGATATTTGATTGGAACAAAAAAAATATATAATTTATTTATTTTGCTAAAAAAAAAAGAATGCATAATAAAAAGTACATATTTAAAACTTTTTAATTAAAAAAAAAAAAACTTTTTATTGTATTTTAGGGTATTTAATTGAATACTTGATTTTTAGATATTTGATTGGAACAAAAAAAATATATAATTTATTTATTTTGCTAAAAAAAAAAGAATGCATAATAAAAAGTACATATTTAAAACTTTTTAATTTAAAAAAAAAAACTTGTAAACATTGAGGTATAATTTGGTGTAATGGTAAAAAATTTCCTAAGAAATTTCAAAGTTCAGTGTGCTCGTGCGAGAGCGATCCTATGATGGTTGATCTCCTGAGAAGTTACACCGATGAAATAAAACTGTGAGACCATTAGGCCAAAGTGGACAATACTTCGATAGTTAAGAGTTTGACTCTTACAAATTGGTATTAAGGAAATTCACTTGTCGAAAAATGAGAAATAAGTGTCATAAAGAACAAAATGCTATGCCAAGGGAGCCACATCTTGAAAACCTATTTGGGACAAAGTGCTACATGGTGGAAGCCATCATTTGAAGTTTTAAGGGCCACTTCTAAAATCCTATTTGTCTAGTGGAAGATTCTAAATAAGAATACTGATGACGACGTCAATTACTTAAGTCTGAGAAAATATGAAACCTCTTAAATAATTTTTTTTTAAAAAAAGCTAAAATTTTAAATACGGAGGAGACTTTTCGTATAATTGTTGGATTTTCATTAAAAAAACTTGAAAGTTAAGTGTGTTCATGAGACTTAATTTTGAGATGAGTGACATCCTAGGAAGTTACACCAATGAGGCAAAAACGTAGGTCCATTATACTAAAGCGAATAGTACCTCAATAATTAAAAGATTGGGTTGTTACATGAGTGATGCGTCCGATTTCAATAGCGGACGGTGGTGTACAAAGCTCCACGTTATCAAATATTTTGAATTATGACAAGTTAGATGAATTACAAATTAGTTGAAAATGAATTACATAAAGAATTTCAAATATTTCAAAAGATTAACCTGCATTTGTTTTTTATCGATTAACTTAAGTTCTATATATTTAATTTATTTTGCATATAAAATGCTTCAAAAAGAACAACCATATAAAGCAATTTGTTAAGGAATTTAGAATATAATCAAAGTTCATTATTGATGTATTTATATCTACTAGAATTGAATAAATTTGAAATGCAATGCATAAAAAAAGTCATGCTATGTGGTTGCAATATTGTTGTCATGAAACATCCACCTTCCACAATGCCACCAATGATATATATTATTGTATGTAGATGTGTAATGAGTCAAGTCGTGTATGCAGGGGTGTAACTAATTAGTCAAGCTAGCTCGAGCTCGCAAGCTAAGCTTATATGAACCATGAGCTTAAACTAGAGCTTGACGAGGCTTAGCATGCAAGCTCCCTCATAATGATGTTTTTATGATCTTGAATGAGGAAGAAGCCCTTCCTTCATGAGCTTCTTGGGAGAGGAGGAGGTAGAGAGGGAGATCAATAGACTAAATTCTTATTGCTTAACCATATTCCTATGATAGCATATAGCCTCATTATATAGGTAACTAATAACTACACCAATGACGATATAAGTCATTCAAGAAATCAAAAGAAAGTACACATGAAAAATTAATTCCCTAAATCTTGGACCAATATCCAAGAAATGTGCTTCAAATATTTTTTTTCTTTACTTAAGAAAACAACTAAGGCTTCGCTTGGGACGACTTTCTTACTGCTTCTTAAAGCAGTTGTTTAGTACAAAAATTTTAATTTATGCGCTAGAAAGTTGCTTTAAGAAGCAGTGAGAAAGTCGTCTCAAACAAAGCCTAAGTTTAGTTTTAAGACAAAAGTTGCTACTAGCAACCCGCTTTTTAAGGCAAAAGCCTATGTTTAAGGCTATAGCAATTCCCAAATTTGAACTCGGAATTGGGCTGGCGAGTCGTGCTTGAGTTTGGCATGACTCGAACTCGGCTCAAATTGTTTACAACCCTAATTTTTAGTCAGATATTCTATCTTCTTAAGACACAACAACTTTTTTTAAGAGTGAAGCTTTACTCATAAATTAATTAGATTAATGAAAGGTATCTTATAATAATAATCCAACAAAAGCAGCCCTTAACATCACCAGCAGACCACTCGGCCCACCCATTTTTCTAAGTCGGCGCCCAAATTCTCACGTGCAAAATTAAAGAGGAGATGTAAGCGGTGACGTCACCGCCAACGAACCATCTCGAAAGAATAAACAAACCTACGGTGCCAGATAATACCTACCTTTTTGAATTTCTTGACTCCTTTCTCCTCCACGCAAGCCTAAGCCCTCTCGCTCCGCCGCGCGGCCCGAAACTTCCTCCCTCATCCGAAACTCTTTAGTCATTTATATATCTCCTCGCTCCTCCTTCTTCTCCATATAGATCTCTCAGTCTTTCTTCTCAAAGCAGAGACTTTTACACTTTACAGCTTAGTCAGTTACAGTTTACAGATATGGGAAGGTCAAGAGACGCTGAAGCAGAGCTCAACTTACCCCCGGGCTTCCGCTTCCACCCCACCGACGAGGAGCTCGTCGTCCATTACCTTTGCCGCAGAACGGCGCAGCAGTGTCTTCCAGTTCCGATAATCGCCGAGGTCGATTTGTACAAGTATAATCCTTGGGATCTTCCAGGTACTTGCTTCGAACACCTTGTGTGTTTCTTCTTAAAGAAAAGCAGAGATTTTTAAACAGGTTTGATTTTGGCTATGCAGATAAGGCGATGTTCGGGACAAAGGAGTGGTATTTCTTCACGCCGCGGGATCGGAAATATCCCAACGGGTCTCGGCCGAATCGCGCCGCTGGACGCGGGTATTGGAAGGCCACCGGGGCAGACAAGCCGGTGGCGCCTGCGCGGAGCGGTAGGGCGGTGGGGATCAAGAAAGCTCTGGTTTTTTACGACGGGAAGGCGCCGAAGGGAGTAAAGACGGATTGGATCATGCATGAGTATCGACTTGCTAATGTCAATCGCAGCGCGAAGTCCAACGGAAGCTTAAGGGTAAGTAAGCGAACATCGAAGGTTTAAATTTATGGCGATTTGGAAATTGGGGAAACTGAAATTTTTTGCTTTTTAATTTCAGTTAGATGATTGGGTGCTCTGTCGATTGTATAATAAGAAGAATAACTGGGAGAAGATGGCGACAAGTTCGATGGAGGAGAACGAGGATGCGAAGTCAGAGAGCTTGAGGACGCCGGAATCAGGGATTGAGATGCCGGATCTCGATGAATTTGGCGACGCTGGATTTGGTCTGGAGATGCAGGTGGAGGCTTCTCCGGCGATTAAGGAGGATTATGATTGGTACTCGGATTTGAATTTGGGGGATTTGCAGAGTAATTTGGGGGATTTTCAGGTGCCGGTGGTTGATTTTTCGAATCAAGATTACTTCTTTTTTAACTTTGATTCACCGAAGAATCGTGCGGTTTCAAACTTGACTTCGTTTTGAAGAGAAACTGCAATGGGCAATGGAATTTGTATATAATTTTTGAACCGTGGATGTGGTGTTGTGCTAGATTCTTTCATTACAGTAGTCAGTAGGATCAGTTCTTCTTTCCAGCCAAAATCACAGAGAGAGAGAGAGAGAGAGAGAGAGAGAGAGATTGACATGTAGCCTGAACAAGCAATCTATCATTGAAATGAAATATATATTTTTTTTTTGTTTTAAATTTTGTTTGGTGATATTAAGCTTTTAATTAATTTTTTTATTCGAATGAATTTATTCACAAATTTAATACATAAAATTTAACTAAAGATTTTTTAATTAGGAACATGGAAATTAAGAAGAGTTCCATTACAGTATAGTTTCTTAATTTCTTAAACATTGAAGCTCTATGTTGATGTTTTTTAACTCCTTGGGGGCTTGCTTGACACTCAAGAGAGCTCAGGGACTCGAAAATTCTCGAAGCTCCACATGAAAGCAATCGCCATTAGATCTTCACCACAAGACCACAATCTCATAAGTAGGCTTCTCCACCCACAGCCTGACTAGAGTCTTCTAATCACTGTCATCCAATTGCAGTCCTCCAACTGTCATCGGCTGATTATGATCCTCTAATTATTGTCACTCAACTACGATCCTCTGATCATCGTCACTCGAAAATGGTACTCAAAATATGATTACCCGACTATAATCTTTTGACCACCATCGTCAGATCAAGCGACTCCAATCACAATCGCCTGCTTATATTCTCCTAAGATACATTGCTCGACTAATATCTCCTAATTACCATCATTCAACTTGAGTTCTCCAAACATTGTTATCTAATTACGATCTTCCAACCACCATCGATTAATTGTAATCTTCTAACCAATGTTGCCCAAATAAAATCTCCTCAACAACGTCGTTCTTCTATGGTGCTCCAACCATCATTTAATTTTAATATTTTAATAACAACTTAAAAAATAAAGGTTTAAGAATGCTATTTTGCAAATATCTATCATAATAAAAGAATATAAGGGAGAGATTAGAAGAGTAAAATTATACAAACATATTTAACATTTAAAATATCATTTAGCAAAATAAATAAATATTTATGCTAATATTAACTTGATAAATAAAAATTAAAGATAAATCGTACAAAATTATAATCAGTTTGATCATATCACTAGCAATAGAAATTTAGAGTTAATATATCCCATAAGTTTATTTCTGAACAAAATATCATACTCACTCTCTCTAAAATAGGAAAATTTATTTTTTGTGGTGTTCGGACACATTCGGAGGTCAATTCAGATACGTCACGTCACTCAATGCACAGTGCATTGGATGACATGACCTGTCTAAAGGCGAACACCGTACAGAATAATCTCTCCTGAAATAGAATGATGATCCTCGAAAATCAAAGTTTTTTTTTATTGAAAACTAGGGATCACAATATTGGTCGAGAGAAGAGTCGCCTTAATCAAGCTTCCTCTAAAATTGAATAGAATTGTCGATCAAGCTTTGAAGCTTGCAATCTCCTCATCATAGAAGAAGGTCAACTTGACCTCAGTTCGAACCCTATTCATTTAAGTTTTTAACAAAGCTTAAATCATTTTGAACCTTGTTCTAGTTTGAATAAGATTTGAATTAGGATTTAAATTTGAATACAATCGACTATTCAAGATACTTCAAAAAAAAAAAAACACTATGAATAGAAGAAGCTATCCAACATAAACAAACTTTCAAACATATTTTCCTATAAAAAAAATTATATATATATACTAAATAGGGATGAATAAAAAATAGAATTTTTTTTTTATTTTTTTATTTTTATGTATTGACATAAAGTAAAATATATTTGATATTTTAAAATATCTTTTCTTTTATTGATTTGATTTATATGATGATAGTGATGATCGTCAATAGAGCAACAACAGTAATAAGCAATATAATAACAACAATGGTGATAAATATTTGCGATGTCACCAATTTGATGTGATAATTATTTTTAAAAATATTATAAATACATCTAAATTATTTTGAATTTTTTTAATTATTTGAATTGTTTTTTTATAACAAAAAATAAAACTAATTTAAATACATATTTCAAAGCATTTTTTTAATTTAAAAAAAAAATGATCCCATAAATCCTAAATTGATTAAAATTAACAAAATAGAACTATTTTCAATGCAATTAAATAGGATAGAAAAAAAGTGTCAAAATACATAAAATTTATTTCGAGAGTTTTAATAATTTGATTTATTTTTCAATGCAAAAAATAAAAACAATGTAAACACATAATAAAAGAATAAATTTTAAAAAAAAAAATTAAAAAGTTGATCCCACATAAATCTTAAATCGATTGAAATTCACAATATAGAACCATTCTCAATGCAATCAAATAGGATAGAAAAATAATAATTTTTCTGCTAAGATATCACGATGCAAAATACGCTAAAATAGACTTCAAAACTCTTAAAATTGCATCGAGATTAGTTAAATTTATGATATCATATATATGACACTAATCTCAATGCAAATCAAAGAAGTTCGAAGATCATCCTAATCTATTTTGCATGAGCACATACACATTTTTATTTTTTTATTTCTTCAAAAGGTTAACTCAGAAAAAATAATCTCATTTCTCTCTTTATAATCCACCAAACTCTATTGAAGTTACTTAACTTTAACAGTATGATTATAAATAATTAATCTCATTTAATTAAAATGAGCTGAGACATCATAAATCAGAAGAAATCACTAACAATTAACTAAAAAGCTTTAAAATAGTTAGTTAATAAATAATGCAAATAAATCAGCTTGGCAATGGTACATTTCTATTATTTTAGTATTGATTAAATACAAAAGGTTTTTAATGATGTTATATTCGACCAAATACAAAAATTTGATTCGAATTAGGCATGAAAATTTTGGATTAGGGTCCATATGTGTAAGATTCTAGTAGGGTTTGGCCAGCTTAAGTGATAGAAAAAAAAAATCATGCTAAGTTTTGGTCAATCGAAAAACTAATGATTTAAATAATTTATTATTTTTTTTAAGAAAAACTAAAATGATTTTTTTTTTTTTTTTTTTACATTGTCAAGTTTAAATTATGTAGTTAAGTTCATTTCAGGTCAAGCTGATGGTTACCCTTCACAATTTAATTTAAGCGTGTCAAAATGAGCTTTTGGGTCGGTTTCGAGTCTACACCGAAAATAACCCCCCATCAATTGACTCGACCCGAACTCCAACCCAACCCAATTATACAAACAAGTCAGAAATTCAGACCTGGACCTGACCCGCCCTAACCCGGGTTGACCCGACCCAACCCTAACCCGCAATATAGCTAGGCACAAGCGGATGCGGGCACGATCGCGTGCGGGCTAGAGCAGGCTAGGGGGTGATTTCGTGCGAGCAAACACAGGTGTGGGCCCTAGCGCTGAGATGGAAGCAGGCATGAAAGCGTTGCAGGGGAGGCTTGACCCGAGTCAGTTTCCGAATGATTTCAAATTTTTGGGTTGATCCAAACCCAACCCACTTGCAAAACATGTTGATCCAAGCCCGGAATTTTTCAGGCTTAAACAAATATTGACACCCCTAGTTTAAATGCTTTTTCGTATCTTGTTGTATATGGTTCTGATTTGGTTGAGTCGGATTTAGGTTTGAATTATTTTGGATTTAAGCTCCAATTTTGAATTACCATACTCATGCCGCTCATTTTTGGGTTAAACACAAATCTAAACCATAAAGATGAATTGATACCCTAAAAATTCCCAAAACAACCGTTGCTTATTCTTTAATAGGCAAGAACCAACTCAATTCAATTTGAAATCTTTGATAAAGCAACTCACTAATAAAGATCAATCCCTAATAGAAACCATCTTAAGAAAGTGAGAAGCAACGTTATCTTTTGATCCATAAGATTAGGGTTATCTTACAACTCTCTCGCTCTTATAGTTTTATTTGATTCAGGCAGCTTCAGCTAACCTTCTACAAGACAAAGCTTCAAAACAAAGCAAAACAAATATAACCTTCTTATGAAGTAAAGCAAGCAAGCTGTAGACATAAGAAACAAAATGAACCTTACTTCTCCATCACCAAAACCTATCCAAAGTAACTTCAACATTTAAAACCCTAAATACCAATTGCTTTGCATGGAAATCAATCCTCTCTATATATTTCTCTTCACTTATTCCTTCTCTCTTTCACATTCTTCTTTGAAATAACATTTATACCAACCAAAACAAGCTAAGAACTCCTTCAATTCCTCCTCTCCTCCTACTTGAACTCTAAGCCAAACAAACCTCATCACCAAAATATTCTCTCCCTCTCTCACACACACTATTTATATCCACTCCTTATGTACAATGAAAGCTCTTGAAGAGCTTGTTAAGTAATATGGCTGAGCTTGTTTTCTTCGACGTCGAGACCACGACGGCGGTGGGACGAGGAAAGAGATTTTGGGTGGTCGAGTTTGGGTCTATTGTGGTGTGTCCAAAGAAGCTTGTTGAGGTAGAGAGCTTTTGTAGCCTGATAAGACCACCTGATATATCTCTAGTTGCGCCGACGAGACCAAGTGGTATAACAAGAGAGGCGGTGGCGGCCGCGCCGATGTTTGAGGAGTTGGCTGATCGTGTGTTTCAGATCTTGAATGGTGAGTTTTGTTGATCAATGGACTATCTATCTATATATATATATATATATATATATAGCTTTAACAAAGGACATAAACTATTGCTCATATCTGAACATTATTGTCAAGTTGGATCCTTCACAGCTCTACATAACCAGCTTTATTCTCCATCTAATTTAAACAAGTTTTTTCAAAACTTGAACCTTTTATTCTGAATTGAACTCTTCATTTTGGATAATACTTTTCTATCATATGATTATATTTAGATATATGATCCTCATTTAATGCATAGAATAGCAAGGCATGTGAGAGTATTGAGTTTAATTAATCGATTGTTAAAAAAATATGATAGAGAAAATATGAAGTAGTTGGCATTCCCTTTATAGGCTTAAAAGTAGGGGTGTCAATATTTAATACGACTCAAAAATTTTGGAATAGGGTCAACCCGTTTCACAAACGAGTCGGGTTCATGTTTCCTTATTCGACACATTTGAAAAAATGGGTCGAGTTCGGGTTGAGCCGAAAACCCGTTTGAAACGAGCTGCCCGCACGTCGTGCCAGTCCCGCCATCCGCCTTCTCTCCGTCGCCATCCAGCTGTCTAGCCATGTCGAGTCTAGTCAATCCATAACCCGACGGGTTGGGTCCGAGTCTGCACTTTCGACCTGTTTACATAGTCGGGTCGGGTTAGGGTCAACCCGTTTGAACCCAGGTCAGTTACAGGTTTAACCCAAACAAAACCCGACCCGAAACCTGATTTTAACACCCCTACTTAAAAGCTATTTGAATTGAAAATGAATTTGTTCATTAATACATTTGGACTTCGTTTAGGACAACTTTCTTATTATTTTTAAAGCAGCTTTTATTATAAAAATTTATATTTCAAAAACTTTTTGTATTAGAAAATAATTATAGAAAGCAGTAAAAAATTTGTCCCAAACAAAACTTTAACCTAACTCCAATTAGTGGTATCATAGTCTATTGTTCAATTAGGATCGAGTGTTTCAGGCAATTTCTTGGCTAACATAAGTCGGCTATTTCTATTACATCTAAGCTCAGTAGAAGAGTTGGTGGTTTCATACAAGCTCTATTTGTTGTTCCTCTCCAATAGACTAATTAAACTTTTAGTTAAAATAATTTAATCATGATTATCAACCCACTCCCAAACATTTCAAAACATAATTAGTCTCTAATCTCACATGATTATATGTATATAAAATTATGTGTTTGGTATAATAATGTATCTTTTATAATTTGAGCAGGTAGGGTGTGGGTAGGGCATAACATAAAGAGATTTGATTGTCACCGGATAAAAGAAGCGTTTGCAGATATTGGCCGGCCGCCGCCGGAGCCGGTAGGGATGATAGACTCCCTAGAAGTTTTGACACCAGAATTTGGTAGAAGAGCTGGTGATCTCAAGGTATTTTGAACTTTGAGGTTAGATTAAAGCAATATTTAAGCTCTTGTTTGGGTACTATATGGCATCATTAATCCTAATTATGTCAAGTGTTATGTAAATTCATAGCATTAAGTTACATGAGAGTATTAATTTAGTTCATTTCTTGTTATTGAAACAATAAATGACTCTTTAAGTGGGGAAAAAATAAGTTCGTGGTCCGGCACCTATGGGGCTGGTAGCTGCTAGACCCGCCGAGAGATTAGTTACTCTGACAAGCACCTCTACGTGAAATTATTCTGTGCGGACGTCGAATGTCATCCGGAGACCAACCAAAATGCTCCATATCACCCCCTGCTCGTTACTCGGCTCGATACTGCTGACGTAACATATTCTGATTGATATCCGGACAGTGAACTGCGTTCGACATCCGCACAGGATAATCTCTCCTCCTCTACAAGGGTGGAAGCGGATAGATACCCGCACAGGATAATCTCTCCTCCTCTACAAGGGTGGAAGCCGATAGATACAGTGAACTGCGTTCCAAAAAAAAACACCAAGTGATTGTCCTTACATACTTTTTTATAAGTACTTTTTTTTTTCCTACTTAAGTTGCAGAAGTTTTGTTTCAGATGGCAACATTAGCTTCTTATTTTGGGCTCGGGCAGCAAAAGCACAGGTAAGAGAGTGAGTAATTAAATATTTCTTAATCCTTACTTAAGATTCTGATGCTGAAAAATGACTGTGCAGAAGCCTAGATGATGTTAGACTGAATCTGGAGGTCCTTAAGCACTGTGCAGCAGTATTACTGTTGGTATAATTACAGATTAATTGTTATTTAACCTCATCATTTAAAATTAACAACTTAATTTATGCTTCGCTTGAGATGGCTTTCTTTCTGCTTCTTAAAGCAGCTTTCTAGTACAAAATTAAAAAATTTTGTACTAAAAAGTTGTTTTAAAAAGTAGAAAGCAAGCCGTCTCAAAACGAAGCCTTAGTGAAATATAATACGTTTTTGAGAAATATCTGTGCATATATATTTCAATTGAGTAGGAATCCAAGCTTCCTCAAATATTGCCTGGAAAAGACCATGGAAGTCCGAGTATGGTGACAAGAAGCAAAGCAAATAATGTGAGGTCAGGTGAGGAAGAAGCCAACAGAAAGTCTCCAGTAAGTTATCTGGGAAGCATCAGAGCAGCTCCTTATCAGAAGGGAAGGTTAGGGAAGGTAAATCTGCTTACTAAGCTTTTGATCATCATCATCATCTTAGTTGTATCTATTAACTTTTTACTCTACTAGCTTTATTTTTATTATTTCACACTATTATATTTTCATTCATCCAATATAGAATCAAGACTCAATCCTCTCATCTGTGTTAGCACTCTCACATATTCTTCTTTTAAGGCTTTGTTTGTGATGACTTTTTTATTGCTTCTTGAAGTAATTTTTTAGTATAAAAATTAAATTTTTATTAAAAAAACTACCTTAAGAAGCATTAAAAAAACCGTCCCAAACGAAGCCTTGGGATGGCTTTCTTCCTGCTTCTTAAAGCGACTTTCTAGTACTAGAAAGCCGCTTTAAGAAGCAGGAAGAAAGCCATCCCAAACGAAGCCTAAATTTAGTCTTTCAAATTTCTATACTTAGTTGTACTAATGAAGCATTGTGTGTCTTTGTTTTTAAGGTGATCGAGAGAGCAAAGGAAGCTCTGAGGGGAGCTGAGGGCTCGCAGCCTCTTAATGGCCTTCTGCGGCATTCTCGCTTGCTATTGAGATGATTTGGGATGAAATGCGAAGCAGGAAGAAGAGATTACAGCTACCATTAGAAAACTAATCAGGATTATAGAAGAATTATCTCATCAAAGCTGTGATTAATGATGAGATATTAAGGAAAATTATTAGAACATGAAAGAAAGATAGGATCAATTGCTGATACAGTGTGAGTGACACCTGTTAGTCATCTTGTTCAAAGTGTTTCCACTTTCCTACTAAAAGTACCCATCCATGCTTAGCTTGGTTGGTGGGCGTGCTCGGTTGGGAGCCCCCTCATCCCGAATTCGATTCCCTCGAGCGGCAATCGCCCCTTCAGTAGGGGCCCCAAAGCGCCATCTACGGTTACAGTGGCGTGGGTGGCCTAATAGGTCAGCCGGAATTTACAGACAACCAAGCGCGTTCGGCGAAGCCGGGCGTCACAGCGAACTACGGTTATTCGTCACCAAAAAAAATAAAAAAAAAAATATATTTCCTACTAAAAGTGAACAAAATATCTGATTTAACTCAACTCTCAAATATTATAATATTTGTATCTGACAAAATCTTCCAAGAATCACTCAGAAAGATCATCCTTAAACTCATCTATTCTATCAAGCAAAAAAAAAATCCGAAAAATAAATTATTATGTAAATTGTGATCAAGCTGATTAATGGATTCCAATGGTAAGATTGGTACCAGGATAACAATGGACAAAAGAATAGCTCCAGCAGGATAATAATCTCAAATGCACATAGCATCAGCTATGTTTGCTAAGCTATGGAAGCAGCTTCAATAGCACTGCCCAGAGGCCATGCTGCCTCCACCAAGGAATCGCCATATTTAACCTTCTTTACAAGTGTGATATCTTGCCATGGCTCCAAGCCTGTGAGATTAGGGTTCTGCATATTATTATATTATCATAAATGATAAAAATTTATAGTTAATATAATTATAATATATTCTTATTATTAAAAATATTTTTCTTTACAGTGCTTTTCTTTTTGGGCGATTTATATACAAATCACTAAATTATTATTTATTTATATATCTAACACATGAATCTTTATATTTATCTTAATAGCATTCTACTGTCTAAATCATTTCAAAACCTATGCATCACTTAGATAAATTAATATTCTTGATATGATTTAAAGATAAGGATGTTATATAAGTAAATATAAAGATTTAAATATTAGAAATTTAAATACAAAAGAATTTAATGACATTTATGTAAATTTTATATTTATATATATAAGAATATTTATATTAGTATTTAGGGGTGTCAATATTTGACACGACTCGAAAATTCTGGGATAGGGTCAACTCGGACCCGAAACGGGTCGGGTTCGGGTTCAAAAATTCGACCAGTTTCAAAAATCGTGTCAGGTTCAGGTTGACCCTGTAACCCGAAATTGATCAAAAATCCCATTTTGACCAGGAAGCCCGAGATTGACCCGTTTTCGACCCGGTTTTGACCCGTAAAGTGGATATTGACCCGTTTTTTACCCGAAAACTAGCAACTTTTTCACGCCCCCGGGTCATTTGGGTCAGGTTCGGGTCTGAAATACCGACCCGTTTATAAAAAATGGGTCAGGTTCGAGTTGACCCGAATAGTACCGTGTCAATTTTGGGTTCAACCCAAACCCGACCCGTGACCCGAAATTGACACCCCTATTAGTATTAGAATCAAGCAAGCAAATGCATAACTATTCATGCTTTCTATAAATGTGATCATAAAAGCTATATATAAATTGGAATCAACAAGAAACAAGAAAGGGAGGAATTTGACATACCGAATCCATCGACGAGCAATGTGAATTGATAAACAAGATCCATGCAAAGATATGGAAGATTTTCCTCTGCTGCTTTGGTGTATGTGACCTTGGCTTCCTCCACACTTAATTTACAAGCTCTTTTAGCAGCCTCCTCGAAGTCTGAAGGTTTCACCTTGGCAACTGGCAAATTTGGGTCAACAAAATCAGCCTGAGTAAAGGATCAATATGCATGGTTAGTAATTTAGTATAGTATAATGAGCTATAGGCGAAGGAGAAAACTGTAATGGGAATAGCAATTACCTCAGCAGCCCTATCAAAGAAAAATGAAGCCACGAATATATTCTTCTGTCCATCTCCACCACCGCCATTCCATATGCCGCCAAATGTGCATTTAAGATGAGTGCAAGTTGTTTCGTCGTGTTTAAGAGCTTTGACGGCAGCGCTCCTGCAGTTGGTGTAGCTGGAGCCAGATGGGGAGGCTGAAGCTGGGTATTCTTTATCTCCATACTTGTAAGACCCTTGAAGTCAAAAAAACACAGGAGAAAATATCATTACTAGAATAACAACCAATGCTTTCTCAGGGTGCACTAGTTCATTGTAGAAATTTGGCTCAATGATACTAAGTATGAAGTTTGAAGTGATTTTTATGCGAGAGAAATTTTTGAAAATTTAATGGTTCATCATAGCTAAAGATAATGATTGCTCGTGGAATGAAACATGTGATGCATTGACACTTCTCCTCAAAGAGGCGTGCAGTGTCCGACAAGACACCTGTCCGACACTCATTCGACACGTGTCGGACACACCGAAAACGAGTCCGATTAAAAAAAGTATTTAATACAAATTGGACACGTGTGTCCGACACGCATATCTTAAATATTTTATGAATTTTTTTAATACAATTTCTTGTATTTAAAATTTTTACTCATTTAAAATATAAAAATTAAATTTCTTATTTCCTACCCACAGCACCAAATCAATCGCCCGCACTGAATACCCCATTCATTAAATATTTTAATTTTCATTTCTCTTTGGCATTGAAGGTATTTTCATCTCCTCTCTCGATGACTGATAAACGGCATCGAAGTCCGACTCTCATCATCCTAATATTAATCATTTTAAGCACAAATTTTAGTTAAATGACTTATTATTTCTAAATTATTTTTAAAATTATACTTATTTAATTTTTATACGCTATTTTAAAAATATAAAAATTATAATACCATGTCCAACCCGTGTCATGTCCTATATTTTCAATAATTGACGTGTCCTGTGTCTGTATCATGTCATATCTGTGTCGAAGTGTCCGTATATGGGCATCATAGAAAGAAACAACCTCCTCTGGAGCCCTCAAGCATGAGGACTCAAGAATGTATTCGAGACTTTCTTTAAGCATAAGTTCATATAGAAAATTACCTTTCATGTTGAGGGAGAACTCTCCAATACAGGGTGACTAAGCTTGAGCAATCAGAAAAACTTGTTGGGTTTGCATGCCTTGGGGAATAGGTTAGGAGAAGAATTGAATTGATTAACCCTATCAAAATTTCATGATTCCATCATCTAGATTTTAGAGACAATCAGTCTATGATAAGGATGAGTCACCCTTCTTAGCAACCATAAAGTTACCTTTTATAAGGATCTTTCTAAATACTTAAGGTTGAGTGGTGTGATTGTTTCGTATAGCAAGCCTTCGCTTGCTCAGAAATGATTGACAGCATGGAGACTTGGCTCCAGGCTACAAATGAAGATCTTGATACTATCAGTCCAAGTTTGATTCCATAATTAGATTGGAGTGAGCTTTTAGAGCCTTAAACTAGCAAGTTTTTGTGCCTATATAGCATTTTCCAAGAAGAATATTGGCTGATTCATGAAATTTCAGTAGCAAGGAACCTAAGCTCTAGGCTATCAAGTTAGGACATTAATCCGATTATTATGTGTTTTAGGCCCTTTGCCTAAATAATTTTGAAGCAATTTCATGAAGCTAACCAAAATTGTCAAAGCAGTGCCTAAAGCCCAACTAAAAAGATTTCAACAACATATAACCTTGGTTCCAGGAGGCCTTTACCAGAGACTTTGATGCAACTTTATGAAACTGAAGATTTTTGAGATACTAATAAGCACAGACATTTAGTTAAGTTGTTGATGTAATACTTAAATTGTATGTTGACAACTAAAGATTCTAATCTCATACTTAACTGTATTTTAACAACAAATGAAATCAATTGCATTTCAACTTGCAAATAAAAAAAATATACGTTTCAGCATGCTGCCTCTCAGTGCCACAGCAGCAATGCAAAAATATTTAAGTTGGGATCCCCAAAAAACTGATTATCATAGAGTGGCAGCTCTACCTTGATAGCCATTCAATATGCAATCACTATGAGAACCTTCTGCAACTTTCAAGATCTCTGCTCGAGCAGCCAATAATCCATAGCGCAAATAACTGAAAATTTATAGGCAACAAAGTAATATCAATAATTGTATCATTAACAATATAACTAGACTCAGGCTTCGTTTGGGACGGTTTTTTTACTGTTTTTTAAAGTAATTTTTTAGTAAAAAATTTATATATTTAAAAGCTAATTTAGAAAGCATTAAGAAAGCCGCCCCAAACAATGCCTGAGTGAATAATGAAACCATTTGCAAGTTCCCTTCTCAATCCATTTGAAGCCATCAAGGAAGTTGTCGGACCTGTGAACATAAAGGTAATACGTGATTCCTTTAAGAAACAGTTTCTTCACATATTCTTCTTCTCCAACTGTTGGCTTTGGGGCCTTAGCAGCTTCGTTCTCAGAAATAGCATATGCCATTTGGACAGATCCTCCTCCGAGGTCAACTACTCCCACTGTATTTGAGTATTGTTTACCCAAATTGCCAAGTAAATAATTTATAGTGACCTGTATGCAATAAGAAGCGTTCACAATTTTTGGAATCAAGAAATATGACGCAAAGGTGAGAATATAAAAAGACAATGGCCGGCATGCATATACTAGAAAATGAATGATTGAAACAGGGAATTATATTGATATCAACATATCAATTGACAAAACAATGTAATAGCAGGAGTGAAAACCTATATTTTTCACAGTGATGCTTCACAAGAGTAAGACCGGTTTGAAATTTTTAACAAATTACACCAAGGCCTAAATAGTTGAATGCAAATACAAGTCAGTCTCAAAAGTATCATAGCTGAGACCATACCCTCTAAGTTAGAAATGCATCACTCTCTTTGCATGTTTTTGTTGATGATGGGCACTTCAGTCCGTTTTGGACAAACCATTGAAGCTATTTCAAAATCCGTCAGAGGAATTAGAAGGAAGAGTCCTTTTGTATTGCACCATAATAAATCCAGGTTTTGAGAGCAATAAGTTAACATATACTTTAAAGAATTAGGTTAAATATATCTCCAAGAAATCTCCTATTTAGATTCCAATTTTCACTGTAACCAATGTGTTTTGCTTCAAAGATTTGCTTTGAAAAAAAATATATTATTAAATAATTGTTTAATTGGAACTAGCATCCTCAAACCTGAAAAATTATTAATAAAAAAAGAACACTTCTTTTTTAGTTCTCAACATCACTTTGCAGAAAACATTTCTTATCTAAGACGTTTATCTAAAGGAAAATCTTACCGAACAGAACTCACTAACTTCTCCACATGATCCATTGCTGAGAAGAAGCTAAGAGTCACAAATTTAGAGGCTATTTGATCAGTAGAATAGAATACTTATAGACGTACACAAGTAGGTATGTTAGCCTTTATTTAAAATGGTTCAACGTGAAAAGGCACTGCTCTCTTCGGAATAGAGGAAGTTGATTGACTATAGCTACATATATGCCTTCAGTACCTTACAATATTTCAGACCTCGAAAAGTTAATTAAACATTTATGATCTTCTGACATTAATTTAGTCAACATTTAGAGGGCAGAACTAAATGTGAGAAAAAAAAAAGAAAATGGGTTGGGCAAACAGTAAAAACTACCTAAAACAGTTAAAGCACAGCTAGAACAATATAAAACAAAAATAAATTGAGGTAATTCATAAATCTAACGAGAAGATTGTTTGGATGAATCTAATCATGTTGGTAATTGATAATAATGCCATCATTTCTTCAAAAAATTATGTAATCACCCATTTCTCTCAAAAATATCTTCACATCACACTTTACACGTTCAAAATGTGAGTGTATTTAGAGTGAAACTATAAATACATGTAAATGGCCAAGAGCGAGTGGCTGAAGGATATACCCATTGGAAAGCACCTTCCTGAGTGCCATCAAGAACAGAGACCCAATCTGATTTGGACTTAAGAGAGCTCTTGTCGCGAAGAAGATCCCTAACCTGCAGTAGTTGTACAGGTTAAATCGCATGAATTAACAGAACATTCTATAAAGTTTGTTGTGAACGAGCAACTTATGCTGGTTTGCACAGGAGACTCGAAACTAGAATTTACAATAAGCCATCTTCTTTCAAACGGAGAAAACCAAACATTTCTCAGCTTAAATAAATCTAAGACATGAATTGAAAGTTATAAAGATGTTTACTTCTTGCAAAATTTTTTCAGAAGTTTCAATTCCCAACTGTCTCAAGCCTGCTGTCGCCTGCAAAAATACAGAAATACAGAGTTAATAAAAGTTTCCCTTGACAACTATTCTGGTCTTCAGACAGAATCATAACAAGAAAAGCATATTGTGAACGATTGTAAGTTACCCCGACTCTAACAGGTGTTTTTCCTCTTAATTCTTCAGGAACCGCACTCTCAGCTTTCTCTAAAAGAGAAATTAAAGATTCGGCAGCCTCCTTAGGGTCCTCAGCATAAGCGCTTAAGCCTGGTTTTTTCTGAATGCATTAAAAAATAAATAATTAGATGATAATTGTAGATGTTACATGTTTGTTTAGGGAAATTTTCCAAAAAAAAACAAAAATCTTCCTACAATGAAAATTTTAAATTAAATAAATGATGCAAGATAGACTAGAGTTAAAATTCCTTTTGGATGTTTCTTAGGATAATTTTAGATTTGCAATTAAATTACGATAGATTTGATTTTAGATCTTAGATTTTATACTTATAGGGCAGTTTGCTTTGCAATTGTTGGGATCACAAAACTTTGAAGTAAGAAAATTGGTGCAATTCATGGGCCTCGATGCAACTCAGGATCAATTAAACTACACCCAATTTATTTGAAATAATTAACTCAAGGGCCGAACAAATTCAAAATGACACAAAAATCGAGCATAATGACCATCTCATCATGACAAATACAATGACACCAACCCCTACTGACCATTTTAGAGCGAGTGAGGTTATCACATGGCAAAGGGAAAACGATAGTGACTACTCTATTATCACCATAAATGGTGTTCACGGGATCACCATATCAACCCCCAAATTTCACCTTCCGGCAGGCAACATGCTATCCTTACCCAATCACATCAATGGACGCTTATTACTATGCAAATCATTAAAGAAAATTTTGTGCCTCCAGATATATCCATTTTTTTTATCAATTTAAGACAAACATTTAGTTTCAGGGAGATGAGCATTTTGATACCAAAAAAATGAGATCTGTTTAATATTTTTCAACATACCAAAAATTGGGCAATAATTTTCTCAAAATTGTTCCTATCAATCTGACCGCTTATGAGATAGAATATAAAAAAAGATCAAAATGATCCCTTAACTCTTTGAGAGGGACCATACCAAAATGGTCCTATAACTCTCTTGGAGGGACCAAAATGGTCCCCAACTATTTTGAGAGATCAATTATCTCTCAACTCTTTAAAAAGAGACCATTTTGGTTTTGTCGTTAAAAAATAACGAAAAATTTGGATGGCTGCGAGGTTATGATCAAAATAATCACAAAAAAAAGGAGAACGATACTTACCTTCACAGCAGGCGAGCTCCCATTGCTATGCCTGATCCAACATGAAGAATGACGAACTTCGTGAACTCTAATTCGACAGAAAGAAGCATCGTCGAAGGAGGTGAAGAAGGTTTTAGCCACTCATTGAAAACCCTCTCATCGCTACGTCCAATCCAACAAGAAGAACAATGAACTTTCGTGAATTCCGATTTGACAGGAAGGAACCTCATCGAAGGAGGAGAAGAAAGGCTTTAGCGACTCTTTCAAAACCCTACCTCATTTAGTTCTCATCTTCCTGCTAGTGTATTGCTCTGATATAATTTATAACAGCCCAAACTCTTAACTATCGAGATATTGTCCGCTTTGGCCTAAGGGTCTCATGATTTTGCCCCGTTGGTGTAACTTCCCAAGAGGTCACACATCCCAGGAGCCTTGACATTAAAGAGTTTAGCTTCTATTTACTTAAGGGATTTCACACACGTGAAATACGCAAAGTCGAACAATGAAGAACGCGAAAGAGAATAAAGAGGAGCAAATCATTTAGAAATTAATTTATGTTATTTAATTAATATAAATTAATAAATAAAAATTTTAATTAAATAATTGATAATGAAAATAATAATTAGATAATTAGCATTTTAAATAATAATTAGGTAATTATTCAAAATAATGATAGTAGTTATTGTTGACATCATTTTTAGCACATCTTATTGAATCTACCTTCACACTTAATGGGGTATTCCTCCATCGAGCGTGATCATCGTTAGCCTTAAGAGTTATTGATCGTGTCCGATAGGGGTGTCAATATTTGACCCGACCTGAAACCTAACCAGGACCCGACCAGAAAAATTTTGGGTTCGGGTCAACCTGTTTGGCAAACGGGTCAGATTTTGGTTGGGATTTCTGACCCATTTTAAAAATTGGGTTGAGTTCGGGTTGACCCGAAAACCAAAAGTTGACCTGGCTGACCCGGATCTGCAAGCCCAACCTGACCCGTAGGTCCCACACTGCGTTGACTCATTCCTCTAACCGTCTTGGGTAACTGAATGGCCTGCGGCCCACATTCCCGCCCATAGGGACGCACCAATGCTGGTGGTGCACCGCATCAAGCCCGCGTCCAGTATCGGCACCCGCACAGTCGCGCCTGTGGTCTTCCCTCTGCACTCGAGTGTTCGACCCTAAGGCCCGCTTGCCGCTCACGTATTTCCATACTAGCACCAGCATCAGTCGCGCCACAGCAATGCCATGCTCGCACCAACTCGCAACCCCGCGCCCCACTTACGAGTTGCGACCCTACCCCCCACGCAAGACCTCGTGCCCCTCATGAGACCCCACACCCCACAACACGCCCTCGCTCGCCTGATTTACGCCCTGGTCAGCATGTCGGGTCGAGTTGACCTGGGTTTAGTGCGGGTCGAGTGCAGGTTTAGATTTTTTACCCATTTCTCGAATCGGTTATGGTCAAATAACGGCAGGTAATTTTCAGGTTAAACCCAAACCCGACCCGAAAACCCATTTTGATTATTCATGCAGATCAAGTTTCACTTTTTTATATCTACTCGACTTCTCGCACACAATAGTAATAATTCATTAATTGAATAAAAATAATCTTAATTCTCTAAAACTAGCCAATCATTTCAAATTTTCAATCTCCTTCTTCGTGTTATTCTCTCTTTCTCCCTCTTAATTTCTTCATCATTTGTTCTTATTCTTTTTGTCCCTATAATCTTTAATGTTTCTCTCCCTTGTTCAACCACACCCACATAAGATCACTCCAAACATCTCCACCAATCCAATTTCTCTCTCTCATATCACTAATAACTCTTTTTATGCAAAATAGCACTAGTCAAATAACTAGTGTCATGAAGCTTCACTAGAACCCCTTCCTCCATAGCCTCTTTTTGTCTTTGTTGACTTCTTGATCCTTCCCCCACAAAAAATCCAACTATTTAATTGCAAATAAACCAATGTCTCCACATCCAATTTTGTATTAAATCTTACAAACGCCCTTAAAAGTATTGTCAATTTTACTATTTTTACTTCATCATTAGTTTTATCATATCTATTTATTGGTGATGAATCCTCCTCTTCCATTTATTTGTTTTGACTCTTGCACAATTTTTTTCATACTGTTCATGATCTACCTGCTTGCTTCATATCCTTTCACAAACTCCTTTCTTTCCTAATCCAGTCAATAAATACAAGTCAATCAAGACAGCTTGTTCTACTTCTATCTCACATGATATACTGAAACAACTGGAACTCCAGATACTGGCAGACAATCTAGCAGAACTTATCCCCCAATAGCATACTTCAGACGTCCATCAGCATAGATCTTGCTAATTGCAACCTAAAACAGTCTATATGCATCTTTATGAAGCTGGAAGTGAAGCATGAATGGGCAACCTTTGAGGCACTTGCACACCGAAGTACGCATTAAAAGGAATTTGCAATAAGTTGGTTCTATCATTGCAAGATCCAAACAAATGGTCCTGAAGGATATCCATACCTAGCTCTAAATCCGTGAGTGTCTAATTAGCTATTTATAAGAAAAATGTAGGGTATGCTCCCGATAACTTCACTTACCTGCACGAAGAGCTCAATCTCTTGCCCAATTGGAAGCAGATCCAGATTCCCATCGAAGCAGTAAACATGGACCCTACTCCCCGAGCTCCCCGCATCGAAAATAACGGCGTAGCTTTTAGATCGGTCGCTCGTCCCCACCTTCCGGCCGATTAAAGCAGCGTCCCGTGCGGGAAGTGGCGCGGGACCCCGCGGCATGAGATAAATTACCAACAGGACAAGAAAAATGGGGATCGAAACAACGAGGATCACACTGCGGAAGCGGTGGATCTTATCCCCCATTGACTCCTGCCTCGCGCGCCTCATCTTGCCGTCGAGTTCCCCCGGCGAGTGGATCAACTCGGCAGCAGACGGCGACCGGTACCTGATCTGGCCGTTGGAAGAGGTAGGAGGCTTCAGAGGCTGCGTGGTTTCTTGAATGGGCTCCAGCTTAGGGTAGAGATTTAACCAATGCAGATTTGGCCGGAGGAGAAGGGCTCGCCGGAGAAATGGCGATCTCTCTCCCCCGTCGACAATTTGAAGAAACAAGATCCAAAAATTCTGCAAATCGCCACTGGAGATTTGGTACGGAAGGGGAGACTAATGGGAACCCGGTAATAAGATACAAGAATCAGGATGAAATGAAGGACGTACGGAAAAATTTTGGTGCTAATATATATAGGATTTTTTAGGCACATAAAATTTAAAACTATTAAAAATATATATTCAAGAGACAAATTATTATATTTACTGATATACCATCTCAAATATTCCTTTTCTTTTATTCTACCACTCCGTTTAAGCCCCGCAGACATCCCTATCCGCGCGTCGTCTTCCGTTCATTCGTGGATCTTCCCTGTCCAAACCCAAGACAAAAAAAAAGAAGCAATTTTAGAATGAAGAGGAACCCACTGCTGGCGAAAAGGGGAGAGCAGACGGCTGGCCTCCAGTGAGTTGTTGCATGTGGTGAGCATTGTTCCAGACATTCTCCATTTCTGACCACATGTCACTTTTTTGCTGAATGCTCAAGTCATCAACTTGCTCGGCAACATCACCTGATAGTGAGCTCTCCATGAGGAACTTTACATATCATAAAGGAAAATAGAGCTGAGAAGGAAGAAGAAGAACAGTAGAAATTCCTTTGATAGCAGATAAAGGTAAGTTTACTAGGCCAAGAAGACACCAAAATGGCTTCACAAACGACTAGGAAGCAGAAGGAATACAACAAAATTAAAAAAAAGGGTGAATTTACTAATTTAGATGATTAGCAATTGGGTTAAAGCAAAGGAGACGGGTATGGCAGACCTTGATGACTTCTCGAACCATTGTATCGAGGTCGTTGTCATTAGAAATGAAGGAATCGACGAGGTTTGCGATGAATCGGAGAAACGCCAACAAGGATCGTCGTGAATGATGGCTTTGGCGGTGCCAATAACCATAAGCACATAGTCCAACCCATCGGCAAATCGGAATAGCTCCACTATACTCATGCCCTCCACCACGGTCAATTCCACTATGCTCCGTTCTTTCCCCTGCAACTCCCTCTTCTTCCAACTTCGATCATGTTGGGAAATTCCATCTCTGAAGTTGCGAGCTGCGCAAATCTCTGAAGCACATCGTGGTCGGCGGCGATAGCTGAGAGTGACGGGATTCAACGGAATGGTAGTATAGATAAGAGGAAGAGTTTTTAGGTGGTAAATAAGTAAATATTAATGTTTAGGTGTTAGACATGTAAATGGAATAGTTTTATATGTTATGTATGTAAAAACCCCATAGCTTCCGAGGATAAGTTTTAGGGCCCTCTCTCTTTGGAGATATTATTATGTGAGATATTGAATAGTTTGAAGATGAATGAGAGCGCATCATGTTATTCGATTTATAGCTTTGATATACAACAAAAAATTGATGTGAAACACTCTCATTCATCTCCAAAGAAAATTTTTAAATGGGCTTCAATGGAGGTTGCCACAAGACAAAATTTGTCAAGAGAAAGCTAGGATTTTATTTATGTCCTCGCATTGACGAAGTAGAATAAGGCCTTCAAGTAGATATGGAATGAAACAAAAGGACTATATAATGTATAATTGGTATGATGAGTTGATTTCTAAAAGACTTTTTGATGAAGATAAGAAAATTTTATCCACAAAAAAATGGGAAGAGTTATGACGTATATTTGAATATTACTTTGTTATTGTAAATCAAAGTTCATGCATTCTCTCATGTAGAAACTAAAGAAGGATGAGGTGATTGATCTCTATAAATATTATGAGTTAATTGTTAACTATATAGTAGGTTTATTTCTCATAGAAGATGTGTTAATATCTTTTTAGTCTGATTTAATGTGTTAATATCTTTTTATTCTGATTTAATGAGTTTGCCTTGTTTATATAGTTATACTATGAACTTATATGAAATATCTCATCATGTAATATTTGAAATATTATATATTTTTATATTATTATGAAAAATTAAAACTAGAGGCATAAAATAATAATTATAATATGATGTTTCATTCTAAAAGTATAATATTAAAAAAAAAAATCTTCAAAGGAATCATGTAGAATGCAAGACAATCATATTGATATTTATAGCAGTTCTTCTATATTATAACATCACTTTATATAGTAGAAAGGCCAATTATTCTATCGAGAGGTGTAGGGCTTCATAACTCATTGCCATATCTAATGTTCCTATGAACCCCATGCAACATGCCCAAACTAAATTAAATAAAGCTTGAGGTTACTTTTGTTTATGAGTTCTAAGTTAATTGGCTCTTAAGCTAACTAACATAAATCTTTGATTGACTCCACCATAGCCCATCATTCTATCTTTATACATCTTAACATCACTAATGGTTATTTGTGAACATGGCGCTCGTTCCACTTGAGAGAAATTTGTATAATTTACTTGTGAAAGGTTACACTAAGAAAATTAAACAAATAATTAAATAAATGAGTAATCCATACATGTACCCTAAACTCTTTCCATCAAGATCTCTAGAATACATCACACATAAGTAAACCCAACAACATATAATCATTGCCAACACCAAATCATTGGCAGATGGAGATACTTAACATGTTGAAACACCTTGACTTGGTGGCTTCTTTGAGTTCCATATAATAATTGAATAGAACTACTACTCCAATGTAATACTCTGAAAATGCTCGAAAGCCCTCCAATAAAGATGATTATTAAAGGTGTATGTTTGAACAAGAAGTATTAAGTATTAGAAGGAGTCTAATATCTATAATTTGTATACTCTACTATGTATATGGAATGTGATCATTAATAATCCTCATAAGAGTCTATACTATAGGTTCAACTAAACCATCTAAGGGGTATGAATGTCTATGTTTTGGCTTGGCACATTCTAAAAGTGGATGATACATTTGGATTATAAGGATGATGTTAAATAAAGTCTAGGAATGGGTGTTCACAAATATCATCAAAATGGCCAATATAAGACCGGAACCTTGTACCAACACCTGCCACATTATGGCATACTAATTATGAGTCATCGATACAAATATATAGCATTATACTAACATGATTTAATGTAATGGTCATTTCATCCATATGTAAATGAAATATTTATATATGGTGAGACCAACCCTCTACTAATGCACTAAGTAAATCTTGATCTAGCCTAATGTAATATAAATGCCTAAAGCAATCATGCTCCCCACAAACTTTCTATAAAGAAAGGGCTGTTAGTTTGCCACTCTTTCACCACAAATAAATGTGATATAACCTCAAAATTATGCCTGATCATAATACTATAAGATATTATAAATACATGTTAACATTTAAAATATTATGTTAAAATAAATTTTTGATATAATTTTGTACCCACCTAGATATATTGCTATGTGTATCCCTCATAACAAGCCTATAGTTGGGTAAGCCTCGGCATGTGTGGGCACAACACCTATCTTAGAAGCGTTAGTACCAAGAGGTGCACATTTTCGTGGATATTTATGCCCTTATTCTACCCTTGATGGTTAAGAGTATGTGCTATTATGTGAATAACATATCATAGTGACAATGCTTCTGACAAAATTTATATGGAAGACACAAAAGATTATATTACATAACTATTTAAATGATGCATACGGAGAAATATCTAATAGTTAATTATGACTGGTCATATAGGTTGGCACAAAAGTTATTTGATATTATTAAATCACCATTAATAAGTAATATGAAACTTGACATTTTGGGACTCATTTTAAGTAAATTTTGATAAGTATAAATTACATATCATTTAATGTATTTTATGTCAAGTTAAAATGTGTTGTTTTAGTTATTTCTATGCATGAAAAACTCAAAAATGGGAAGAAATTTTAAGGAGATTTTAGCACCACGGCATCTGACGATACAACATCGCAGCACTACATTAAATACCATTGGGGAGCTCACATTCTGACTTGGCGACACTGAGTTCTCTGTTTGCAAGCATTGTGGCAGCAACAAAGATAGTGTCGCAGCATTATTAATGCTACGATGTCAAAAAGTCAGCTCGGCAGCGTCAAATTCTTTATTTTTAATTGCTGAGATGTCATAATTTCTCACGTCTTGGCATCATTTTTATACTTTGGGCGCCGCAGGCTCCAATGTCCACAAAGATGCGGCATTGCAATTGTAACTTTTAAGAAACATGTTCTATCAATGAAGAGACATGATTGTTCACTAAGTAACTGATCCACATCAGTAAATATTGCGGTTGTGCAAAAGCTCAAGCGCTGAGGCTCTAGTTCACTTCAAGGGCGCTGCGGCGCCATTATTTCAAGCATTGCATCGCTAGTTGCCATTTTTTTATATTTTTCTATAAATATATATGTTTATAGGGGAGTTCAATGATTTGTGTAATTTCAATACTTTCTAGAGTACTTCTCTAGTTCCCTATATAGTAAAATTTAAGGGAGACTAGGAAGTACAATATACAATCATTTAGAGTGTTAGCATTGATTTCTTGAAGCAACTCTATAAGTTAAAGGGAGAAGGAGTGTACAGGGGATGTTCTAATCCTTTATTGTGATATCATTCTCTTGTATTTTTCATTCTTTGTGAATTTAATAAAAATGTGTTTGCTTGATATTCATTCCACGTCTAGTTAATTATCTTGTTTTTAATTGATGACATAAAATGAATGTTGAGTACTAATGAAAACTCTTATTCTATAAGCAATTAAAAATATATATTTTTAATATTATCTCATTTTTTATTAATGCATATAGTGATCATATGTATAGCTAAAACTTAATGTGATGTATAGCCTCAACGGAGGAATGAAGAATAACCAAGAGTATTGGGATATGATATTTTGCATGCCTAGATATAGGATGTAAAATATTTTAGGATCTTAATGATATATTATAACTACAGGAGGATAGTAGATATCATTTCCATCCCTACAAGCTCGATAGAGATATAGAAATGCATATGCTCTGAATCACATTACCATGAATAGTCTCATTACAAAAGATATATAAATTATAGTCATTAATCTAAAACACATTAATTAAATATTTTTACTGATTTATTCAGAGATAAATTTATAAAGATATTATTTTATTTCAATAGGATAATTAGTATAATTAGAGTAAATAATAGCAGTTTACTGTAAGTAAAGCATATTTTC